GAGGGTCTCACTAGAACTTCCACCCTTTTCTGCGGGCTAGTGAGTATCTTTATGACCATTCCTTTGAATTCTCTATCTGGCGTATTGCTTATCTCCATTTTGTTTAGTTCTTTGGCTGCAATTTTGTCCTGTTCTTTCATTTGGGACATATTCCTCTGTCTCCTCATTTTGTCTAACTCTCTGTGTCTGTTTATTTGTGTTAAGAAAGTCAGCTACATTTCCTGCTCTTGAAAATAGTGACCTTAGGAAGAAGTCCAGTAGTGCCTTGTAGTGCAATGCTCCCTGTGTATCAGAACTTGGGGCTTTAGGAGTGTCTCCTAAGTGTGTTGTGCATGCCCTACTGTTGTGATTGAGATATGTTTGCCTTCAAGCCAGTTGTCTTCAATGGCTCTCTTTGCCTGTTGTGGACAGTGTTTGGTCTCTGTGATGTTAGGGACCAGACTGGGTCTTCCTTGAGCTTGAATTGAGTCAGGCCAGATGCCTACTCTCAGCTCCCTTGCCAGAACTGTGGTCACACTGAACTACAGGGTGCTCTTTCTGCATTGTCCCCTGAGAGGCTTTCATTGGTGGGTAGAGCAGTCAGACTAGATGTCTGTTAGGGTTGCAGTGACCCCAAACTGCTGGAGTCTCTCTTTGTACTGTCCCTTGTAAGATTTTTGTTGGTTGATGGGAACAGCAGTCAAATCAGATGTCTGCCCCCAGCCCACTGCTGGGGTTGCAGTTGACCTGATATATGTGGTTATCTTCCCCTCTACCCAAGACAAGAGTCATTCTTAAGTGGTGTTTGCCACTCTTGGGGCTGTTTACACAATACCACATTTGTTGTTCAGTTTTGGATGGACTCCTGCCAAGTAGGGCTGATTGGACAGGATGGATACACAGGAGAGCCAGAGGTAGGCTTCACAACATTAGCAAGATATGTTGTCAGTCTGCTTGTGGGCAAAGATGTGGAGGTGCTTTGGAGGAACTCCTACAGAGAAGGATGGGTTGGATTGGGCAGTCCAAGGAGAATGAAGGAACAGGGTGTGTTGTTAGCAAAGCTAGGTAGGGAGTGTTCATGCTGGTTCTTGCATGTTGGTATATTCAGGCTGGAAGGGGGGCAGAAATAGTGCCAGTCAGCTTCTTTGTACTTAGAGAAGTCTCCAAAGATCCTTGCCCTTCTTGTGCTTGCTCTGAGACCAGTAAATACATCTCCTTCCTGAATACTCCTGAATACACCTCTCAAACCACTGCTTTTATGCTGTATCTTGGTGAGGTTGTTTGTTATGCTGGCTCTTTAAGGGCATGTACTCAATTTCTTATTACTCTTGGGCTTTCCCAGAGTCAAGCCCACTGACTATTAAGGTTCCCAGTGATAAGCTCCACTGATTGTAAAAACTCACAAAATTAAGTCCTTCTAGTTTTTTTTAAGATTTTATTTATTTATTTGAGATAGAGAGAGAGAACACAGAGGGAGACTGAGAGGAAGAATCAGCCTCCCCACTAAGCAGAGAGCCTGATGCAGGACTAAATCCCAGGACCCTGGGATCACAACCCGAGTCAAAGGCAGATGCTTAACCAACTGAGCCACCCAAGTGTCCCTAATTTTTTTCTTAAACTTTAATGAAAAGTATTATTTATAAAAGCAAAACTATAGAAACAGCTCAAGTGTCCATTGATAGATGAATGGATAAAAAAAGACGTGGTATAATCAGACAACAAAAAGAAATAAAAGGCATCCAAATCAGTAAGGAAGAAGTCAAACTTTCACTATTCACAGACAACATGATACTCTGTGTAGAAAACCCAAAAATCTCTCCAAAAAACTGCTGGAACTGATAAAAAATTTTCAATAAAATTGTAGGATTCAAAATCAATGTATAGAAATCTGTTGCATTTCTATACACCAATAATGAAGCAGCAGAGAAAGAAACCAAGGAATCAACCCCATCTGCAACTGCACTAAAAACAATAAGATGCCTAGCCTAGGAATAAGCCTAACCAAAGAGGTAAAAGATCTGTACTCTGAAAACTATAGAACACTTAAGAAAGAAATTGAAGAGCACACAAAGAAATGGAAAAACATTCCATGCTCATAGATTGGAAAAACAAATATTGTTAAAATGTCTATTCTACCCAAAGCAATCAACTCATTTAATGCAATCCCTATCAAAATACCACCAGCATTTTTCACAGAGCTAGAACAAACAATCCTAAATCTTGTATGGAACCACAAAAGACCCCGAATAGCCAAAGCAATCTTGAAAGAGAAAAGCAAAACTGTAGGCATCACAATTCTGGACTTGAAGCTATATTATAATGCTGTAGTTATCAAGACAGTATGGTACTGGCACAAAAACAGACACATAGATCAATGGAATAGAAAACCCAGAAATGAAACCCCAACTATATGGTCAACTAATTTTCGACAAAGCAGGAAAGAATATCCGATGGATAAAAGACAGTCTCTTCAACAAATGGTGTTGGAAAAACTGGACGGCAACATGCAGAAGAATTAAACTGGACCTTACTTTCTAATGCCGTACACAAAAATCAATTCAAAATGGGTGAAAAACCTAAATGTGAGACAGGAATCCATCAAAATCCTAGAGAACACAGGCAGCAACTTCTTTGACCTCGGCTGCAGCAACTTCTTGCTGGACACATCTCCAAAGGCAAGGGAAACAAAAGCAAAAATGAACTATTGGGACTTCATCAAGATAAAAGCCTTCTGCATAGCAAAGGAAACAGTCAACAAAACTAAAAGGCAACTGAGGGACTGGGAGAAAATATTTACAAATGACATATCAGATAAAGGGCTAGTACCAAAATCTATCAAGAACTTATCAAATTCATGGAGCCTGGGTAGCTCAGTTGGTTAAACATCTGCCTTCAGCTCAGGTCATGATCCCAGGGTTCTGGGATTGAGCCCTGTGTTGTGCTCCCTGCTCAGTGAGGAGCCTGCTTCTCCCTCTTCCTCTACTCCTCCCCCCACTAATGCTCTCTCTTGCTCTCTCTCTCTCTCTCAAATAAATAAAATCTTTTTTTAAAAAAAAGAACTTATCAAACTCAACACCCAAAAAACCCCAAAAAGTCCAGTCAAGAAATGGGCAGAAAACATGACAAACATTTCTCCAAAAAAGACATACAAATGGCTAATGGACACATGAAAAAATGCTCAAGATCACTCATTATCAGGGAAATATAAATCAAAACCACAATGAGATACCACCTCACACCAGTTGGCATGGCTAAAATTAACAACATAGGAAACAACAGATGTTGGAGAGGATGTGTAAAAAGGGGAACCCTCTCACACTGTTGATGGGAATGCCAACTGGTGCAGCCACTTTGGAAAACAGTATGGAGGTTCCTCAGAAAGTTAAAAATAGAACTACCCTACAATCCAGCAATTGTACTACTAGGTATTTACCCAAAAGATATAAAATACAGATTCAAAAGGGTACATGCACTCCAATGTTTATATCAGCATTATCAACAATAGCCAAATTATGGAAAGAGCCCAAATGT